AGACAGACACACACACACACACACAGAGAGAGAGAGAGAGAGAGAGAGAGAGAGAGAGAGAGAGAGAGAGAGAGAGAGAGAGAGAGAGAGAGAGACCATGCTTTTCAGAAAATCATTTCCTTGGCGATGATGGGAGTAGATATTCGACACTGTATGGTATGCGCCAGTGGTTGGGTAGGTTTATTTTGAGAAACAGTTATGCCGGACAGGTATAATCGCAGGCAAACAGTAATACTGACTGAACTTGATCCAACCACCACAATCAGGGGACTGATCTAGCGAAGCAGCCTTATGCTGTGGTTAAGGAAAACATTGAGGTATGCCCGGAAGATGTCGGTGCCAAGGGAGCGAGGACAGTTATGCCTCTGGTGCTCATTAGGAGTAGTGTAGGGTTGTGTGGCTTGTTTGAACGAGAGGCGGTATTGCTTCAAATCTAGTTGTGGTCTTTTCAGCTCATAGATATTGCTTTGTGAACGTGTTAGATTGGTACTGGGTACTTCTGCTGAGTGAAATATCCTGATCAGTTTCTGGCTACAGGCCATTGCCATTCCCTCGCTCCCCACTCAGGCAGTGCAGCATCACTGTTATCTTGTACCCAGCTGTAATCGTAAAGAGACCAAGGTGAGAGCTTGTTTGTGAAGCAATTGTGTGTGTGCGGGTAGAGACCAAGGTGAGAGCTTGTTTGTGAGGCAATTGTGTGTGTGCGGGTAGGGGTGGGGCCGGGGGGGATTACATGAAGGAGGAGGGGTGTCTGTTCTGTTGGTGGGGGAAGGGCTTTGGTGAAGGGACCGGGTGTGGGAGGTGTGTGTTTGTGCGTGGAACAGATGCACTAACTTATGAATGAATTTACAAATTTACCTTTTATCTGCTTGCTCAATGAATGATTTGAATTTCAGTGCATGGTAGTCAAAGTGTGCTTTTGTCATGCATGAATATTTTCTTTTGTTGAATGGCTTCAATCTCCTCCATGTCTGACCCTTCTCACACTTGTCCCACCTTGGTGAGAAGCCCAGAGAACGTTGTGATGATGTCAATCTGCAGTATTGGCCTGTTTCTTCGTGGTGGCTCCACACCTTAGGTGATTGTTTGCTGTACTTGCTGACTGCTTGGTCTTGACTTTCTGTGTGGGCGTGTCGAGTGTGTGATATGAGCTGATGTGAAAATTGTACATGCGAAGCTAACATGATTTACATGCTTTAGTCGAAGTGTTGGGTGGGAGAGAAGCAGTGGAGTGTGTCATACATAAAGACAAGGTATTGTCAGTAAAGGGGAAGCAGGAGTGTGGGGGAGGGTGTGTGCTGTACTGGCGATGCTTCAAGATGTGGTGCAGAACGTGGGAGGAACGGTTCCGTGGATGGACTGAGTGACGAAGTGGTGTGGAGGAGCACGGTCTTGGAAAATGGATGGCGCTTATGTGAGGGGTAGTGTTTGTAGCAATCACTAAGCAGTCAGGAAAAGACATGTTGCTAGTGGTAATTGGGCATTTTATGGTGTGGGCGTGAGCGAGATGGGTGGGGGTCGAGGAGTGGGGATGGTCTTTGGTTATCATGAACTCGTTCTTTGGAAAACATGGAAGCGAGTTGTGTAAGCCAGAGGGAGAACTGGTGGGCCTGGGGAAAGGGAGGGTTATCGGGACGGGCTTCGCCGGGATTGGGTGGGGGATGAAAACGGCTGTAGGGGTTGGCATGCACCTGATGTAGGGTGGATGGATGCAGGAGAAACTGCTGAAGATGACAGCGGACCATCGACTGGAGGTATCGCAGCGCCGAGCTCAATCGGAACAGCAACAACGAGGTGGATCATCTTGGTTGTACTTTTGTCTCTCTTATGTCTGTCTGTATCTGAAACAGTTTGCCCTGTCTTGGTGCTCATTTTGTCACATGTTATTATGACTGCCAATACCACAATGGGGGGATATTGTGAATGCTGGGTTTCTGGGTAGATCTTGTACTCGAGGTGCGGAGCCGGTCCTCTACAAGGCTTTTCCCGCCGCTACCTTAGAAATTTTTCACCCTTCTCGTTTCTCCGGGCGTGTAGAATGGCATCGGGGTTGTGAAATCTGTCCTTGCATTTGTGTTCTGTTTCTCTTTCTGTTATTGAATCGCGGGGACCTCTTCAACTCCCCCTTGTGCGCACTTTGTCAGTTTATAAAAATTGTGTAAAGTGGGAGGTCTGTGACTGCAGTCATTTTAGGAAAATCGCGTAGAGTTGGTATGTCTGTGACTGCACAGAAGTTGTTGACAGTGATGTAATGAATGTCAATCATGTTGAATAAACGAAGAAAAAGGAATAAAAAAGTGAACGGTGTTTCTTATAGCAGTGGACCTATGCACATGGGATAGGTCTCGACAGCCATAACTTTAAAAGCCTTGAGATGGCGGTCAAGAGTCTGGGGCCTCTGTCCTTTCCTGCAGACCAATCCTATGCCTCTCAGTTGCCAATGAGGGAAGAAGGGGTCCTGAGGTTGGTATACATTGATATGTGGGGCTCTTGCTTTCTGGGCCGTAGTCCAGGGGAGGGGGTTTGAGGGCTGTCCATGCATCCGGTGCTCATGTAACGGGATGGATTTTGCAGTTTGTTGTGATGCAACAGGAAAACAAATGTTGGAATTCAGAAGCATGTTATGTGTGTGTTTGTGTGGTACTGTGCACTCTTGTAGATCCTCAATGCATGCGAATGTGGGTATGTTGTTGTCTCGCTTCTCCCATTCAATGAGAGGCGCAGGGAAAGAACGGTGCCGGGACAGGGCTTTGCATCTTGTTTGTGGAATGTCTCGTTTCTGTCTTTGCACCCTTCGAATACGATAGGCATAGTCAGCCAGCTTGTCGGCAAATGCTATGAAGTTTCTATCACATCTTTTGGATATACCATGTTCCTTCCTTCCTTGGAATTCGATATGTTACCTTCTGAACACACATGCGATGGATGGAGTAGGCTGTTCGTGGTAGGTGAATGGGGGAGGAGGAGAACACACATCCAGAACAAATGCACGTCTGCCTGGCCAAATTTCCAGACCAGGTGATTTCACCTCGGAACTCCATTAGGAATTCGGTGTTGAGCCTCAAATACACTATGTTATTTGTACACAACACGCATACAGTATGTGCATGTGTGGCACACCAAGCACATCGCATTGGTGTCGTTGCAGGGCTTATTTATCACAAAAAAGCGTGTGATATGAAACACCCTTTGACCCAGCTCCGTGGTGCGCATCATAAAAATGCAGCATAATTTTGAACCCCCGGATGCTTCCGTTTTCCTGTTTTGGCTGCATGGTTGCAATTATCGGTGCACCTCACTCTGCAGTGAATGGCACGCAGCGCATCGTACTGAGCAGAGTACACCTCAAGATCACATGTATAACTATCGCTAATTTCCTGCCTGTGACAAGCAGACAATCGGGGCCCTCCAATCTTTTGCTGCGCGACCGTCCCGATCGTCTGCTGATTGTTTTGTCTTAGAAGTTGAACCGTCATGGCACCACGCTAGAGACGGTAACGCTCCCGTGCGCCATGCCTGTGCCTGTACCACGAGCTGTACCGGGCCCGCATGCCTAACCCGGCATGGCGCATAAGCATGCCAGCGTGCCTACAGGGCCAGCGCCAGTCCCGCGAACTGTACCGGGCCAATGCACGTGTGGAACATTTAGAAACCAACTGTAGTGTTCGCACTGCTCCGGCCTCTCGACACTAAGCTACAGACACACTAAACTACTCCAAGACGTTGTCGACTGGACTCTGCGCTATTCTACGCTACTCTACGCATTCGACACAGACTCACACACCCACACACACACCCACACATGCGCACGCGCACATACACACACACTGTCGGGGTTCTGCCTCCTGATGAGTCGGTGAAAGTCCGACGAAACAGTCTGGCACAGTCAGGCACACACAAACGCACCATCCTCTCTCTTAGTCTCTGTGACAAACGCACGCATACACACAATTCCTGGGCTTTTGGTCGGTATGGAGATTGCGCTGTGCATCGGGAAGGGCTCTGTATCCAAAAGGTTGGATGGTGACGCATGGGCTCTGCAATCGAGCGCACCAACATGACCTGAGGTGGGTTCATTCGTGCTTTTGTTTGTTCATTTCTGATGCTTTGTGCGTGCGTGTGTGTGTGTGTGGGTGCGTGTGCGTGTGTGTGTGTGTGTCTGTGTGTGTGTGTGTGTGTGTGTGTGTGTGTGTGTGTGTGTGTGTGTGTGTGTGTGNGTGTGTCTGTGTGTGTGTGTGTGTGTGTGTGTGTGTGTGTGTGTGTGTGTGTGTGTGTGTGTGAGAGAGAGAGAGAGAGAGAGAGAGAGAGAGAGTCTAACTACCGACGACCCACCCACCCCACTGGGGGGGGGGGAGGGGAGAGAGAGAGAGAGAGGGAGAGGGAGAGGGAGTGTAGTATCTGTTCCGATGAGTTTCATGTCTGATCTGTGGTCCCAATAACAAAAAAACGAATAAAAGAAACGGGAAAGCCTTCTGCGTGCGCGTGCGCTCGAGAGAGAGAGAGTTAGAGAGAGAGAGAGAGAGAGAGAGAGAGAGAGAGAGAGAGAGAGAGAGAGAGAGAGAGAGAGAAACCCTAACTACCTAAGACGCCCCACCACCATGAAGTGTGTTATCTGTCCCGATCAGTCTCATATCTGATCCGTGTTCGATCAGGAGATTCAGGACCATTGAAAAAAACAATAAAATAATGAAACGGAATTCCACACGGAGACCATTAAAAAAAAAAAGAGGAAAATCCGCACGGGCGAGATTCGGGTTTGTGTGTGTGTGTGTGTGTGTGTGTGTGTGTGTGTGTGTGTGAGAGAGAGAGAGAGAGAGAGAGAGAGAGAGAACCTTAACCCCCTGCCCCCACCACTACCATCAACTGTATTGCCGTATCTGTCCCAATCAGTTTCATATCAGGTCCGGGGGAAAGAAACGGAAAAGCTGCACGCCCCCCCCACTGCGCGCGCGTGAGTGAGAGAGAGAGAGAGAGAGAGAGATAGAGAGACCTACGACCCACCCACCCCTCCATCAAGTGTATTATCTGTAGCAATCAGTTTCACATCTGATCCGTGGTCCATCGGCGCACAAAGAGAAATGGAAAAAACACGCGAGCCTGCGGCTGCCTCTATTATCGTATCTGTCCCAATCATTTTCATATCAGGTCCGTGGTCCATAGGGCGACTGGCGCGCGCGCGGCTGCCTGTATTATCGTATTAACATGAAAAAATAAGAAACAGAAAAACCGCACGGGTGCGTGCGCGCGAGAGAGAGGGAGCGAGAGAGACAGCATTCCCCTAAGCCAACAACAAAACAGAACGGTTACTTGCAGTGGTAACAGAAGCAGCGGGAGGTAAGGGCGACTGGAAAGAAAGAAGAAAAACAAAACACGGGTGCGCCGCCCGTGCCTAACGGTTCCTGGCTGCCAAACGCACTGCTGCCCCGTGCGTGGGCGCAATGGGGGAGAGAGAGAGAGAGAGAGAGAGAGAGAGAGAGAGAGAGAGAGAGAGAGAGAGAGCGATCAGTTTTTTATCTGATCTGTGGTCCATCGGGACCAATTATTAAAAAAAGAAAAGAAGAGTGAAAATCTTCAAACACGTGTGCGCACACCTGCGCTTGAGAGAGAGAGAGAGAGAGAGAGAGAGAGAGAGAGAGAGAGGGTAGATCTTTCCGGGGTGAGGTGCGGGGGAGGGAGGAGAGATCTGCTTAATAACAATGGCACAAGGTCTGGCCAGAGCGACCAGACCAAAGCGATCTATCTATTGCTGTAGCCCTCCACAGGCCAGTTTATTTAAATAAACTGTGCCCCCATTTCTATTCTATTTCAATTGACGCTCACCGTACATAATAAGAAAGATACTTGATGGAGACTTCCAACAAGTGCCCCCAGGCTCTCTTAATTACACCATATCAGCCCAGATCGCCTATGGATGGGGGGGAAGGGGAAGGGAGGAGGGATCTGCTTAACAATAATGGCACTCTCATACTCGATGGGGACTTCCAACGAGTGCCCCCAGGGTCTCTCAATTACACCATGTCAGCCCAGATTGCGTACAGAGCAGTCGAAATGAATAAAGAAAAGAGCACGAATCTAGGCTAGTACGCTTTGCTACTGTACCTCCCTTCATTATTGCGGGCGTAGTTGCCACAGGTCCCCTAGTTGTATATTAGATTTTTTCATTTTTTTTTTGTAATAATTTTAGTGTTAGAAGTTAGCTCCCACTGTTTTCTCTGGTGCGACTTCCGATGGGTCTAGTTTTGGAAGATGATGTATTCATTGGGCACTTCCGACTCAGTAGCTCTCTCACATGCAGAGGGTGCCATATTTTTTTGTTTGATTTGCAAATATGGTCACCTCGGGTGGCTGACTGCAGAATAACCTATTGTTAATGTGGACCTGCGGCCATTTTGCTACGGCCTGCAGATCACGCGTGGGTATAATGTGATGAGCAGTACCTAGATCAGTCTACTGATATGCAAATGTCTTAAATCATCAGTACACCCGGGCCTGGAGCAGCTGCACTGCGCGCCAAGCTCTTCTGAATCAACAGTGGTGCAGTTCATTTCTTTTTTGGCTGGCTCCGCCGATCATTGTGGTCCGGTAGCCCCGAGCCGCAGAATTTTCAGTGCAGGCGATGAACGCATTCTGCAAGGCTGGGGCCGTGTATTGGCGGTCTCAAGTGAAGTGATGCTCATTGCGGTCGATGCTTATTTTCAGAGTAGCCCCGAGTTGCATTGCTTCAGGCCAACCGCTCTGGGTGCAGCATTGGGGTTGATGGTTGCCCTTTTTTTTGGGATTCAAGCTTGAGGAGC